TGCTATGTGTGTTCTCTCTGATGCTGTTCAGGGTGTGCTTCGTTCGTTCGTTCGAAAAAAAAGAAGCCCCGTGAACGCACAGCCAGTCACGTTATACCTAAATCGTTGACGTAGTGGTAGCAGGAGTACAACAATTATGTTATGCTGTGTTGCTTGAAATGTGCTACATTCGGTCTATGATGCTGAGTTGGGAATGTTATTATACGGTGTGCTCAATTATGTCTGTTTTGTTCTCGACGGGCTGGCGTGACGCCGTGGTGCCTATCACGATCGATACGTCGTCCGATCGTTCGTTGCTGCGCTTGTTTGCTCCTGTGGCCAGCCTGATCTCGGCACGCACGACGCTTTTGATTAGGTTGTAGCACAATTGATTATGTTGTGACGTAGTGCTTGTCCATGGTATGATGATATGAATATGCATCTGGTTTGCTGTGGTATGCCATTGTGTGAAGGGTTGCGCTCTGTTCTGTTACGCTGTGCTCAGGTATTGTCTGTGACGCTATGGCGTGCCGTGCTATGCTTTGTACGTTCCAGGATGTCATGGCATGCGTTGCTATGCTGTGTGGTGGTATGTCCTTTTCTGACACGATATGATATGGTATGCGGTGCGATGTTGGGTTTCCGGTATATTATGAGATTCGATGCGATACTGCGTTCGGTCGCGCTTTGTCATCGCATGAAGTGCCATGTTATGGGATTGCGTGTGCTTTGGTGATGTGCTGCGGTGTGATATATTGTGCCATGGTATTGTATATTCTGGTATGGTATGGAACCATGTAGAACATCGTAATCTGTTATGTTATGGCATGAAGCGTGCTGTGATACACTGGTCTGGATGGTCCAGTTGCCAGGAGTTGTGGTGTGTTGATGTGTTATTGTCCCCGATGATGTAACAAAGTCTGCCTCACCCCTCATGGTATGTTGTGTCATCTGTGTTGCGATGATATATGTCATGTTATATGTGATGTGGTGCTGTGTCAGGTAAGGTGTGCCCTCCCATGGCATATAATGGTATGAGATGTAATGCCATGGCAAGTAATGGTATAATATACTGTGATTGCTCCGTTATGTCATACCATGCGTTGCTATGATGTGCTGTGCTGTGCTGTGCGATGCAATGCCATGTTATGCCAGGCTGTAGCATCTTCTGGTTTGGTATGAACAGTTATGCAAATTGTCATTGTGGTATGCTTGATTGCCATGGAATATAATGCTATGTGCTGTGATGCTGTGATACGGTACGGTATGCTCGGATGCATTATGCTCGGTGGTGTGGTGGTATGCTCTGCTCTGTAATAGCTGATCGTGCTGTGCTGTACTGCTCCTTGCGATTGTATAATGCAGCTCTGACATGTTACGATTCGTTGGCACGGAACCTGACACTCGGGGATACTCGGAGGATCTGGGTATCTGGCGGCCGCGGTATGCCGAGGGGCGGGAGGCGGAACTCTCGGGGACTCTCGGGAGACTGGGGATCTGGCGGCCGCGGTATGCAGAGGGGCGCGAGGCGGGACTCTCGGGAATGCTCGTGAGCCTGGGGATCTGGCGGCCTCGGTATGCAGAGGGGCGCGAGGCGGGACTCTCGGGGGTACATGGGAGCGTGGGGATCTGGCGGCCGAGGTGTTCAGGGCGGTCGGGTCGGGAGGTCGGTTCTTAAAATCCTACAACCCCACTCTCTCGGGTGGGGAACTATTCTTGTTTGAATTAATGATGTAGTCGATCCCCTACTCGAATTCTCGAAGAAGACAAAGGCAGAAGCATAAACGTTCGGAGGTTCTGCGCGGGACCCTCCTGGCGGCGCCTCTGGCACCAACCATTGTTAGTCGCGCCCTGCGCGCCAAGTCCCGCGCCGACCCACGAAATCCGCTCGGACCTCCGACAAGCTAATGCCTATGCAATTGATCCCTCGTCGGCCCTTCCCTCTCGACTGTTTTTGTTTTTGCTATTTCCGGCAACGGCCGTTGACGTGGGGGTGGGGTGGGGCTGAGGGGCTGGGGCCCTGGGCAATGGTGACGCCTGGGCGGGATGGGTCGCGTGGGGCGGTGGTGGTGCGGTGCGATCGCCAGCCAAATCCTGCGCGCGAGCACCATTGGGGGGGGGGTCCAGGCATCCCCCCCCGACCTATGGTCGTTACCGTTACCCTGGGGGGAGGGGGGTTGTTTGGCCCGGGTATACCGACCGCTACGGGTGAGAGAATAAACACAAGGACTTCCTCCCTATCCCGGCACCCAATTGCTGCTCCTCTTCCTCCCCGGCCGGGCCGCCGGCTCCTTGCAGCCCCGCTCGATCTTAGCCACGAGGGTTTTCTGCACCGCCTCCGCAGCCTGAGAGGCGGGGGACTTGCCGCCACTTGGGTGGGGACCGACCGTCCCAGCTGTCGTAGAGGCCGACTACGGAATGTTCTTTGAACGAGAGCGTGTTTTAAACAACCCAACCCAAGTCCCTATGACAACACATCGATGCACTAAACTGTCTCAGCCTGAGCTGTTCCGAGAGCTTCCCGTGCCAACCACAAGAAAGGCCTTGGAACATTGTATTGAGGGCGGCGCTATGATACAAAAGAGCTCTCAAGCTGTGGTTGCGCAATTTGCCCGACTGACTTTAGGACGTGTCTTGCGACTTCTAGATTCGAGCCACGTTTGGTTTGTTATAACATTTGAGCTTTTGCAATCGCACTTGAGCGGGACCTTCTTTGGTCGGGGCGCTCCGGTGCCGCTCGAGCCACGGGCCTGGGCTCGGACCTCCCCGCCCGCATGCCCGACAGCCTTCTTTCCTGCCGAGCCCTGCCCACGACTCGGCGGCGAGCGCACGTGGGGAGAAGGCCACAGAGCAGAGAAGCGCGTTCCGCTGCTCGCAGAGCAACTGCTCGCAAATGGCCCGACCCGCCGCGGGGGATCTTAAAGATCCACTGCAGACATGGGAGAGACATGCTTTTTTGTCGGACGCTTGCCAGTAGCGCAACGCACTCGGTGAGAGTGCACGGTTTACCCCGGGGCCGTGGGAGACCCGAGGAGGAGGAGGGAAAGGAGGAGGAGGAGGAGGAGGAGGAGGAGGAGGAGGAGGGGGGGAAGGATGAGGATGAGGAGGAGGAGGAGGAGGAGGAGAAGGAGGAGGAGGAGGAGGACGGGTCGCCTAAGGCCTTCTGAGAAATCCTGCAGGGGTAGGCCTTCTCAGTCTCAGAAGGCGGCTGGGCCTCTCACAGGCCCTCCGGCCTTCCGAGGAGCCGTCTTTGTTTTTCCGGAGGAGGCTCAGACCATTCGGAAGGCCCGACGCCTCCTCAGCCTTCTCAGAGGGCCCGCCTCCCCCGCATTCCCCCCCCCAGGCTCGTCGCCGAATGACGAGCGAATGCCGATATCTGTCGAGGAACCGAATTCACATAAACTTTTGTGGCGCCCGCGGCTAGGCAGAAGGGTGACTGCGCTGGCGATGAGAGGCTTAAAAGTGGGGGTGCCTTTGGAGCGAATGGTGCCACCATGCGAAGAGGAGAAGCGAGGCGAGGGCGCGGCCGAATGAAAACAGGGACGGGACGGGTGGCTCAGGGGTCAGACCGCTCCCGACAGTCACATGAAAACATTACCTTTTAATGGTCCGCGCGACTCTCTTAGATCTGCGATGTGCCCCTCTGGTGGCTGCGCCTCTGGCGCCGCCCCTAGCGTTAGGTCGGGCATGTCCCCCTACAGGCGGATTTTTAACGAAAAACCAAACATACCCCTAAACAGATCCAACAGTATTCAAAATTAGCCTGACGAAGGACCCAACCATATGCAGTTGTGAGTACCGCGGTTGTGAATATCGTCCTCGGTGGAGCTCTTTATGGGGCGAGGGGCCTGCCACAGTGGTGGTGGTGGTGGGGAACCGCATGCAGGCACCCCCACTGGGGCCTTCGGTGGAGCTCCCTATGGGGCCACGAAACGCTGTCCTGGGTGGGGGAACCGCATGCGGGCACCCCCAATGGGGCATACGGTGGAGCTCCCTGTGGGGCCACGAAACGCTGCCCTGGGTGGGGGAACTGCTTGGCTGCTCTGGGCGCGGGAACCGCATGCGAGCACCCCCACTGGGGCCTTCGGTGGAGCTCCCTGTGGGGACACGAAACGCTGCACTGGGTGGGGGAACCGCATGCGGGCACCCCCACTGGGGCCTTCGGTGGAGCTCCCTGTGGGGCCACGAAACGCTGCCCTGGGTGGGGAAACTGCATGCGGGCACCCCCACTGGGCCCTTCGGTGGAGCTCCCCATGGGGCCACGAAACGCTGCCCTGGGTGGGGGGACCGCATGCGGGCACCCCCACTGGGGCCTGCGGTGGAGCTCCTTATGGGGCTACGAAGCGCTGCCCTGGGTGGGGGAGGATGCGGAGAGCAGAAGCAAGGAGGGGGAGGAAGGAGGAGGGGGGGTGGGGAGGAGGGGGGAGGAGGAGGAGAGGAAGGAAGGAAGGAAGGAACGCGGGGCGCTGTCACTTCAAAACGAGGACCCAACACCACAGGATGGTTGGGAAATACTCAAGCAAAATCCTCCCCTTACTATTTTTGACCATTTTTGAATAATCCCCCAGTAGAGGGACAGGCCCGACTTAACCCTAGCGCGCTCCGCGCGCCAGGGAGGGAGTTCCGGCGCCGATCCACGGAGTCGGTGCGGACCTCTTAAGCCGAACTTCAGTCGGACTGCGGTCGAACTAGGGTCGACCAAATCTGTGAGGTGGGCCCCGGGAAGGTCCTTTTTAAGAGCATCCAGAAAGCCTCTTCTTGTTCCTCGGAATTGTGGCACCTCGGCGACACGCAAGAATGACCCCAGGCAGGAGTGGCCTTTGGACCACGGCTCAAGGAAGGCGTGGGGGACCAGGGGGGGCGCCAATGCCCGAGCGCGCAAGCCACCGCCGGCGCATCGAACGCAGCTGTCGGGGGGCCCGCACCAGAGGTCAGTTCTGGCGACGGGCCACTGTTGGCTGTTTTTTTCAGCCTCCAGGCGCCTCCAGGGGCTGCTAGGGGGACCTGCGCGAGAGCATCCGGGGACCGCCAGGGACCTCTCAAATCTGGAACCACGAACAGAGATCGCCGCAGATGCTCTCGTGCCCCCATTCCGGCCTCTGGAAAACAACTTGCGGCACACGGAGAGCGCGGCGACGAGAGGGGCCAGGAGGATAGTGAGCTGGCCGAGGGGGACGTCAACGCTGAGGAGAAACCGAGCGCGACACGAACAGTAGCTACCAGATATGGATGAAGACAAGGGGATCGTCCGGCAGTGCTCCTCTGAGTCGCTGTCTTCGTTCAACAGAGACGTGCTCGGAGCGTTTCTGCTCCTGGTCAAGCTCTACAGCATCCTGGACCGACCTGCGCCCGAAGGTGAGGTGGCGTGTGTGAATTCCATCCGCCAGGAAGCTAAGCATAGCCCGATGGCACCTCCGATCGAGCGGATCACCGCTGGACATCGACCCCAGACTGAACGGAGGGGCATCCAGAGAGAGAGAGAGAGAGAGAGAGAGAGAGAGAAATCAGCTCCTGCGCCGCGGGCCGCAAGGCGAGCAAGAGCGACCACGCTGGCCACGGGCCGCCCGGGACACACAGATCAGCCCCGGCAGCGACGGCGGGCCAGCAGCCACTCCACCGCCACGCACGCCGCAGCTCGCCCACGGGCGCTGGGAGCGCGCCCCCCGAGGCCTCGGGCGCAGGAGGGCCTCTCTGGGACGGCGCCGCTCTACCGGACGAGCTTGGTCGCCAGCCGGGCGAGGGCCTGCCGGTCCACCCTGCTGCCGGGCAGGCCGCGGAGCTCCCGCAGCAGCTCCAGGGCCGCGGCCTCCCCCCCGCCCCGGAGCGCCGCGAAGGCCTCCGCCAGGGGCTCGAAGGGCAGACCCCCGCGGACCTGGAGTGCGGCAGCGTCCGCGCCCGAGGCGGCCGCCACGCTGCTGGGCAGGCCGTGGGCGGCACGGAGCAGGTCCGCCACGCGGGCGGTGTCGCCCGCGGTGGTGCAGCCGCCGAGGAGGACGGAGTACGTGCGCGCGTCGGGGCACACGCGCTCCTGGGCGGCCCTCTGGAGGACCTTGAGCGCGCGCTCGTTGTCCCTGTGGTTGGCGCACGCCTGCATCAGGTTGTTGAGGACATGGATGTTGGGGCGGATGCGGTGCTTGCGGGATACCTCCTCGCAGAGTTCGAAAGCCTGGTCCAGTCTCCGGCTACGGCTCGCCAGCTTTACCAGCAGCGAGAGCGTGAAATTGCTGGGCTTCACACCCGCATCCTCCATGTCCTGGAGCAGCGCCATGCCGCTGTCGAACAACGCGTAGCGAGCACAGCCGTCTAGCACTGTATTGTAAGCAACCTAGGGGGTGTGTTGTACATAAGGAACAACTGAACGAAAGTTAGAACCTGTAAAAACACCTTTGAACAACTGAACGAAACTTTGAACAACTGAACGAAACTTTGAACAACCGAACAACAGTTTGAAGTGAACAACTGAACGTCAGCGACCTCGTCAGGTCGGAGGTCCTTCGTGAGCTTCATCCTGTTCAGCAGCTCGAAGGCATTATGTAGCTGGTTTCCCTGTACGTAGGCCTTCAAGATAGTGCTGTAAGTGATCAAATTCGGCTCAATACGCTGGTGGGACATCTCCGCCAGCAGACTGGGGATGCGATCCAGCTCGCGGCACTTGGCGCACACGTCGAAGATCGTGTTGTAGGTCACGACGGAAAACACGATCTGGGCATTGAGCATCTCCTGGTAAACGGCCCACACCTCGTTGAAGCACTTCTGATTGGCCCAGCCCTTCAGCACGGAATTGTAGATCACTGCGTTGACCAAGTCGCGCAAGTCTGTGTCGCCCAGCATCTCGCGGATGAAGGCGTGTCCAGCCTCGGGCCCAGCATTCGCGACGAGCGCCTCCACCATGACACTTGCTGTGATGGACGTCGGCCTGGCGCCGCGCGTGCGCATCTCGCGCCACCTGGCCCGGGTGCCCTCCAGGTCTCCCACGAAGCCGTGCGCGCGGATGACGCAGCTGAAGGCGTGTGAGCCGGTCATCTTGACGTCTCTCAGACTGCCCATTTTCTGTAGCTGCGCCCTCAGGAGGTCCGCGCGGTTCGCGCGCATGCACGCCTCGCACACCGCCGCGATCAGCAACTCGTCCATACTCTCGCTCGATTGGCCCAGGATCGCGAGGATGCGCTCGATCTCGTGGTCGCTGGCCCGAGACGGGCCCTCGATGCTCCTCAGCAGTATCGAGCACGTGACCTGGTTCGGTTCCACCCCGCGGGCTTGCATCTCGTCGATCAGGGCCCAGGCGTCCTCGCGGTTGATCCGCAGGGTGGCGTCGATCAGCGCGTTGAAAGTGATGACGTGCGGGGCCCTCATCGAGTCCATCACCGCACGCGCGCGCGCAAACTCACCGTTCTTCAGGTAGCCCTTCATGATGGTGTTGTGCGAGGAAGCGTCGGCCATCTGATCGCCCTGCGCCTGCGCATAGACGCGCTCGGCAGCCGGCATGTCGCCGCAGGTCACGCACACGTCCAGGAACACGTTGAGGACGTACGTGCCCTTCGCCGAGCACTGCTCGAAGACGCGATGGGCGTCCTCGAGCCGCCCTTCGGCACCAAGGCCCCTGAGCAAGGCGCAATACGTGTGGCTGGTGGGCTCCAACCCCGTCGCCTTGGCGAGCCCTATAACCTCTGCCCCGATCGCCGCAGCGCCACTCTGGACGGCATCTGCGATCAAGCCGTCCACTAGGCGGGCATTGAGCAGCCCGCGCCGGCCGAGCTCACGCAGCGCCCCCGGGGCCTGAGCCCGCTCCAGGGCGAGGCGCAGCAACCGCTTCAGCAGCGTCTCCAGCGTGTGCGAGGAGGAGGAGGAGGAGGAGGGGGAGGGGGAGGAGGAGGAGGAGGAGGAGGAGGAGGAGGAGGAGGAGGAGGAGGAGGAGGAGGAGGAGGAGGAGGAGGAGGAGGGGGAGGAGGAGGAGGAGGAGGAGGGCCCGAGTGGGCCCTCCGCCGCCCCAGCCGACACGGCGCCCAGGTGCGTCATGGCGGCCTCCAGGTCCGAGGCTCGCGACTGCGGCGCGCAGGGCCTGCCTCTGCGCCCTTGGGAGGCGCGGCGTTGCTGGCGGCTGCTTGACGGCGCCGGCGCCCTTGCTGAGGGCCTCGCCCGCCGACTGCTTGGGCCGGCAAGGCACGCGGGTGCCGAAGAGCATGCGGTGGGCCACGAACGCGACAACCATCACCACGAGCTCCGTCTCGAAGTTGGCAATCGTCCTGGCGAGGATTTCCAATGTCGACGCCATCAAACTTCGATTGATATGAAAATGTACGGTCGGTCCGGTAAGGTAGGGTAAGCAAGAGTGAGTACACAGTAATATTCGCGTGAGAGACTTGACTATGCTACAGCCGAAGCGACGAAGGAGAAGTGACGGTAGACAAAGCGGCTAAGGAGGAGAAAGGAGAGGAGAGCCACGGTACGCTTTCTGCTCGCCGTGCCTTGCCCAGAGCAGCCGTCGGATCGCCTCATCGCTTTACCGGCTAGCCCGCTTTGTTGCACGGTGCTCACCACAAGTGCAGCACTCCACCGCAAGCCTCAGAACCAGTCAGAATGCCAGTATGCAGGGGCAGGGCGGTCTGACACCGTCCCTGGGCGCGCGACTGCAAAAAGGTTTGGCCTTGCCTTGTCTGGCCTTGTATGGCCTTCGTCGTCCCGTCTGCCACCGACCCACGGCCTACACCTGCGACCCATCCTTGACCCGCACCCGCGACCCATCCGCGAACTGCCTGGGAACCCTCTGCGACCCACCCGCGACACTTCCGCCAATCACATGTGACCACCGGTTCATTATTGCTAAATCAAAAATCTTGACATTGGCGTCGGAGCCTCGCGAACCGCTGACGACCCGCCTCGCGCCCCGCCCTACTGGTTTGCAAATCTCGCCTGCGGCGGGCAAATGGCCTCAAAAACAATCTTGACTTGCGGCGGGATCCTTCGCATTGGCGATCGAGCCCTGTATCCTCGCCTTCTATTCGCTCTTACCCTCCATGGCGCGGCTGGAGTGGGCCCTGTACGGGCACACACTGACTTTGTGAACATTGCCCGCCAATCTCGGCGGGCAGGTTCCTACAAATTCTGGCTTCCTCGGCGTTTGGCCCCTCCGTTCCGAGCTTCCCGATGGCCGCCAGGCTCCAGGGCCTCGCCGGCACAGGCAGAGAATGTGAACTCGGGGCAAATCGTGGTGAGTGGAAACAACACCTCGGAGCAAACAACCCAATGTAGATATACATAAATGTGTATATATATATATATATATAGAGAGACATTTGCAATCGAGGACGTCCACGGCGAGCAGCGGAAGCGCAGCCTGCCTTGCGGCCTGTCTTTTGGCACTCTTAGGGCCTTTGATGGCCGTCTGAATACAATATTGGGCCGTCGCGCGGCCCTCTTGGGGCGCATTCGAGCCCTCATGCGGCCCTCTGGTTGCCCTTGTGGACCGTCTTGGGGCGAACTTCGGGCCGCCTTGATCCGTCTGGGGCATAACAAAGCTCGACACTGCGAGTTTGTAAAAGACGCACTGGCGAAGGACCCAATCATACGCACTTGTGAATACCATAACTATGAGTATGCTCTTCGGTGGTCTTCCCAATGGGGCCACGAAACGCGCGAGGGGCATGCCGAAATGGGAGGGGCGCAGATGCGGCGGGGCTCTCAATGGGGCCACGTAGCGCGTGAATGGTGTGTGCCGAAACGGGCGTGACCCACATGCGACCGCTTCCTCTAGGGCTTCGGTGAAGCTCCCTGGGGAGCCACGAAACTCGTGAGGGAGGTGTGCCGAAACGGGCGTGACGCTCACACGCGAACGCTCCCTCTGGGGCCGTCGGTGGAACGCCTTATGGGGCCACTAAACGCATTAAGGGCTGTGCCGAAACGGGCGTGACGCCCACGTGCGAACGCTCCCTCTGGGGTCTTCGATGGAGCTCCCGGAGGGGCCACGAAACGCGTGACTGGTGTATATGTGTGTGTGTGTGTGTGCCAAAGCGGGCGTGACGTCCACATGCGAACGCTGCATCTGGGTTCGTCGGTGGAACTCCCTATGGGGTCACTAAAACGTGTGAGGGGTAAGACGAAACGGGCGTTGTCCCACATGCAAGCGCTCCCTCTGTGGCCTTCGGAGGAGCTCCCTATGGGGTCATGGAGCGATTGAGGGGTGCAGAAATGGTTGACATGCGGAGGGCAGAGGCAATGATGGGAGGAGAGGAGGGGGGAGGGGAAGGAGGAGTTAGTGAGACGCGGGGCGCTTTTCAAAACGAGGACCCAAGAACACAGGGTGGTAGGGAACCAGAAAGACCTGAAGGTACTGATGCACTTTATACCCTTTGTCTCTTGGGGAGCCTCGACAGAGCCCTCTTGGAGCGTAGTGGGCGCACTGCGCCGTCGAATGGCCGCCTCGGGCTGTCTTGGGGCACTCTTGGGCCGTCCGAGGCCATCTGGCTTAGTGTGTGTCTGTCGTATATTCAGAATGTGCCGGGCCCCAAACTGTCGACCCCTTCCTAATGGCAGCTTTTTCGCCCAGGATCCAGTTTGGTACTTTCGGAGCCAAGAATCAGCCTTGGGGGCCGCAGATCTGCGAGAAACCTTCGACTTGACGCGCTCAGGGTGTCCGGGGGTCTAGGTCGGACGGCGTGTACATCTGCGCCCTGCCCGACAGGAGGTATGGGTGACACACAGGGGGGTCCAGCTGAGAGGGGGTGGTGCAATAGATTTGGGGCAATTGCATTGTGAATGTACTGCGCCGGAGAATTGGAATGCATTGTATCGCAAGTACTGTTTTCCACCCGGGAATCTAGCAATACACTTGCGCCCTGGAATGTATTGCAGGCCCAACATATATTGCAACACCACGAATCGATTGCACCAAATCTATTGCACCACCCCGTTATCTCTGGACCCGCTTTGGGTCAACCCGAAGAAGCTGCACGCCAGCCCCGGAGGCAAATGTACCTTGGGACGGGCGACTCGCGATCGCGGCAGAAGCCAAGACGACGCCGCCGACACCGACTGACGTCGACGCCGACGACGATAACGAGGACGAGGATGAAACCGACACCGACCCAGATACCGAAGATGACGACGGCGGCGGAGGACCCGACAGCTGGGGGGGCAAAAAGGTACCGATATCGCGACTCCTCTTTGGACCTCCCCCGTGGTGGCGACGAAAGACCGCCAGGACAGATATCGACGTCCGCATCCTTCCCTGGCCTCCACCGTCTTGAGCCTTCCAAGACGGGGTGCCCGAAGCTCTGGACCACTTCCCGCTGCAGGCTTTGTCCTGGATCATCTTTGGACGGTCCCCCGGCCCGGCCAGGGGCCCCCCAGACGCCCACATCGACAGAGCACGGCGTCCTGGTCTCTGTCCACCCGTTGCAGGTCCGCAGTCCCTCCCCTGAACGACGGCGGCCGCTGGCCCGACCGCGCCTCCTTCAGCGGCTTCGCGGCGCGCGACAACGCGCACGAGGCGAGGGGGCATCCGGCCGCATCCTCGGGCGGGCAGTGGAGGCCTCCGAGATGAGGTCCGAGTAGATGGGGTCGGAGGATCGCGCCGCATCGCCGATGCATCGACGACACATCGTCGACGTCGGCGGTGCATCGGCGACGCCAGCGTGAAGAAAATCAGGCTCCACATCGAACTGCATCGCCGATGCCTCGGCGATGCGGCGCGACCCTCCGACCCCATCAACTCCGACCGCGACAGGGAGGCCCAGAAGCACGCGGCCATGGGCCATGGGGCTGGCCGGTCGGGTCACTGCAGGTTCGGCTCGGCCTGGCTCGGCCCCGCCCCAGTCGGCTCGGGGACCGCTCCGCGCCCCTCGGTGCCGGGGCGGCTGAGCGCAGGGAGTTGCCCTGGGAAAAGGTGACCTCTGGTGCGCGGTTCGGGGGGGGGGAGGGGGCGCTGGGGGGCTCTGCCCAGGCACGCAAGCTGGCGCTGTCGCATCCCAGAGGAGTGACAGAAGCCACCGCCAACGCCCATCATCTACGAGCCCGCCCTCACGACGGCATGACTCAACAATCTGAGTGAACCTGTGTGTGCAAACCTGCGCGGCACATGGGCGTGCCTGTCTTCTTCATGACGCCGATCCCCAAAGGTCTCGACCTTAGTGGTCCCCGGAAGCGGCAGGGCTGGTTTTTCACCGCTTCCGAAAAAAATCTCTTAAACATTGAAACGGCAAAAAGACGGCGACTGGAAACGGCAAAGAAAACGGTTCCAGGATTGGAACCGCAGCCGGAACCGGTGCAGCAACGGCGACGGAGCCGGTAAAAAAACGGCGTCTGAACCGGCCACACAAACGGCAAAACGGAGCTGGAAAAAAAGGCCCTGTCGTGTCCCGGGACCACTAGGTCTCGACCCACTTCCCGGGACCAACTTCTCATCCCCAGTCTTTTTCGGTTACACGCAAGAGTGACCCTGGGTAAGAGCGACCTTTGGTGCGCGGTTTTTTGGGACCGCGGGTGGACCAAAAAGAAGCGCGCAAGCCGCTGCTACCGCTTCTCTTTCGGCAATATGGGGGCCCATCTGTGCCCGCACCAACGGCCACTCCGGCGAAAGGTCACTCTTACGCCTAGTCGACGTGTTTATTCGGCACTCCCCGGGCCCGGCGAAGGCCCCCAGAGACCGAACACCGTCCGTCGTGATGTTTCACGGCCCGGAGGCCTGGGCCCCCCCGGGGGGCGTCGAGTCCCCCCCCCGCGGGGTTCGTGTCCTGCGCGGAGAGGTCGAGCAGCCGCTTCCTCGGGAGTCGCGCGGCGGCGGGGGTCGGGCGATGAACCAAAAAAGGGCCCCTGACCCTTTGGGAAGGGACCTCAGTTAGGAGGGCCAAACACATTAGGGATAGGGGTCCTAATTTTCTGCAGATGTATCGAACCAGACGCCCTGCAATTATTATCCTTGATGCGGAACCAGGGACCTAAGTGAGGCCACGTCTTCATTGTGTTATAAGGGTTAGAGTGTGTTCTTAATTTCGAAGATGGGGGAACGGCACGCGGCGAGGGCCGGGGACGGGGAGGGGGTAGGCCCCTGCGAGAGCGGCGGGGAAATTTGTTGCAGTTGAGCCAGTGGAAGGAGGGGCGCATGTAGCCTCTCCCCCAGACCTTGGAAGCAACCGATGCGGACACGCCCCAAATAGGACTGGAATAGTGGGAGATCGGCATTGGCTGCTGTCTGCTGCTCAGCAGCCGCCAGTGCGGACCTCTTTGTCAAGTGGATCCATTGACAGGGGTCCCGTCCGACCGACAAACTCGACATGGGTTGTCCAGGGGGATGGTCGAGTCTCGAGGATGTCTGTCGCCCTCTGAGAAATTCCACGTCACCACAGCTCGGTTCCGCTCGAAAGCACGTCCGGAGGACGCACCGAGGTACAGTTCCGAGGGCTGATGTTCGAAGGGGAACATCACGGGAAAGGAGGTGGGAGGAGGAGGAGGAGGAGGAGGAGGAGGAGGAGGAGGAGGAGGAGGAGGGGGAGCGTGCACCAGAGGAGTTCGCCCCCTCTGCCCGCTACGCGGCGGGCGGCGGGGGCCGGCCTGCCTCCATGCGGGTCCCAGGCGGCGTTCTCGACGCAGACGAGGATGACATAGAACCCGATGCAGGTCACGGGGCGACGGCGATGTGCAAGGCCCGGCCGAACTTCGGCCATGCGTCGCCTTGCTCAGGGACGGGAGGGGGCGAGTGGCCCTCGATCCCCCACGGTCCCGCATCGCCGCCGAGGCTGAAAGATGCGGGCCCGCCGCCCCTGAGATGGAGAGACGGCGAAGCCGAGGAAGAGGCCCTCGTGGGGCGGCACCTCGGAGGTCGAGGCGGGCTCGAGGTGGACGAACATGATGATCGTGTCGAATACGCGGAGGAAGACAATGAAGAAGTGGCAGCACGTGGTCTGGCCTCAACGACCGCAGCTCCGAGGGCGGCCCTAGACATGAGCGGACGGGAGGATCCGTGTAGTGGAAGCCTTGAGGCCAGCCTGGTAGCCTCCACCAGCTCACTTGCCGCCACGTAGTCTGCCAGCTCGATTCTCCTGTGGCTCATCAGCCGATAGTGATGGTACATCGCGATGATATTTGCAACAGGCAACCCACGAAGCCCAAGACGGTGAGCTGGGCACCTTGGGAGGTCGCAACGCAACGCCAAGGCAGCAAAGTGGTGGCACCTCGAGCAATTGATCACATAGTGGCGAACTGTGTCTGGTTGATCTGGACATCCGTAGATGCATGGCGCTACCCGTTGCATACGTCGATTGGCGATCCATCCACCAAGGTAAGTCCGAAGGCAGATCGTCGCCCAAGACTTCGGGATCTTGAGAAGCTGCTGTCGGACGTGGGCGAAGTCGATGTCAGTGATTCCGTAGCGTGCGGAAAGCCGTCGCCTCATAAGCTCAACCAGCCGAGGCGGGAATACAGCGCGTGATAGGACCGCGGCAAATATCGCTTGCCACTTGCCCCTGGGGAGATGCGGAGCATCATTGGTTGGTGGCTGCTGGGATGTCCGACAAAGAGGCAGTGGGAGAGGGTCATTCTGAAAACGCGCCTGGACTGACCTCGGAATAGTATGCCCACCTGATTGCCGAACCTCAAGAGCAGTAAAGCCTCCACGGGCGAGTCTGATGTCGGATGGGAAGCCGTTGGCCGCCTCCTCCAGGAAGCGCGCAAAGGGAGCTGACCTCCAAAATGAGGGGGCCAACGCTGACGAGGCCCACAGGTCTGCAGTACCAAAGGAAACAAGAAGATCTCTATGTGCCTGGAGACGTCTGCGCCTTGCTGTACACGTCACAAGTGCGGTTCTCATATGTGCCGCAGCAGCAAGAATGAAAGTAGAAGTGAAAGTAGGCCCACTCCATCCGTCTAGGTTGAAACAATCACCCAGACGAAGCATACTGCTGGGTGTTCGCAATAGGCGTGCTACTAGATGTCGCTGCCCCTGCACTGCCGCCCACTCGAGGGGAACAAATTGGGCCACGTAGCTCAGCACGGGGAGAGCGCGCTCCCGATACAACTTGGCGAGAAGTTCAGTTGGAGCACCTTGGCGGCTGAGGTCAACTGTACGAGTCACATGCTTATCCAGCGGCCCACTCCACTGGTCAGCAATAGTCGTCGAAGGTCCGATCTGAAATCCCAAATATGTGCACTGAGTGGCAAACGTGAAATGCGTCCACATGGCGTCAGCAGCAGTGAGTTGAGCGCGCACCTCGGCGCCTGCATCAGGGCGCGACAGGTGGCGCAGAGGATTCACGATACATTTCTTGCGTTTGAGGTGCAACTCGGCGAACGCTGCCGCGGGCCGAAATATTCTGGCGAGCCGACGATAAGCACGATTCCTGAAAATGGCGGCCCCCAGGTCGTCAGCACACGACCGTGTAACACCCAAACGCTTGCCTGCACAGACCATGGATGCTACGATATCGAGAATGAATGGGTTGGCGGCGATTATGCAGAGCGAACCGCTGAGTGGGCATCCTTGTAGGACACCAGACCGCATATAGAATAATCACAACTGCGAGGCACCAGGGTAGAAGCACATAGTGCAATAGTATAAGCCAGCAAGAGCTTTGACTAGTGGCGGAGGGAGCCGAAGATGCCGAAAACACAGGAATAGTCACGACTGACGAACCGACGGGAAGGCCTGGGCGTAGTCAAAAGTCATCAAAGAAGGCGCCTCATCTGGGTGCTGCTGAGCTAGGACACTAGCAGCCCGCGCATAGAGATCCAAGTCCGTAGTATTGTTGGGGAAGTTCACATCCCTGGTGAAACCATTCTGAGATTTGGCACCTATAGCTTGTGTGACCCTGTTGAGACACCTATTGAGTACTCCACACACCACCTTGTTGCTCGTGTTTTTGAGGCCCAGAGGGCGAGTCTCAGAGGCTTTGCGACACACACCACCTTCAGCAGGCTCATCTTGGGATCCCTTTCTTGGGGGGGGGGGGGGGGGGGGGGGGGGGGTAGACAGCGAGCAACGCCGAAAAGGCCGAGTCCATAAGGTGCCCCGTGGAGATCCAACGCGGCACAGCTATCAAGACTCGAGGACCCAGGCCAGTGCTCCAAGCAGCATAATGTAGCCCGTCAGGACCAGGAGCAGCCCGCGACGCTTCCCCCAATAACCGAAAGACATCCTCGACCATGGGGAGGGTAATCTCGGCGAAGTCATGGCTGCTCGAGAAGCGCTCGACATAATGACGACCGCCGTTGGGGGCCACAGGAGCCTTGGAGAAGACAGGGGCCCAGTGCTCGTTCAGGGCATCGACGCGCCGGCGCTCTGAGGAGGAGGACGCAGAGGAAGCTGAGGAGGGCGAACTGTGAGCGCGCAATTCATCATATGCGTTCCCCTTCACAATGCCTGCCAGATACTTGCGCCGCAACAGAGGATTCCATAGCTGAGCCGACCTCGCAGCTGCACGCTTCTGCCCGATCAGTCGGGAACGAGTGCTTGGTGACGCTGCTTGCGACAGAGCGCTTTCCACCCCTTTACGGCGGGCAGCGGCCTCCTGTCTCTGCAGATGGGCGCGCAAATCATTGAACCCAGGAGGGCCAACCAGGAATACACTAAAGCACTGGATAATGCAGTGTTTCTGGGCCCAAGGAAGCTGAAACCGAAGAACACCTGCTAACTGGAACTCTTGTCTCCACACACATCGAGCAAGCGATCGCGCAACCATCGCTCCGGGCGTAGGCGAGGAGGGCGAGGAGCGCAAGGGTGCGTCACGAACAAGAGCCCCAGCAGACTGCCTGCTACGGGTGGCCATCGTCGGCATCCTGGGGGGGGTCGTTCTCCAGGGGGCGCAACGCCTACTAGCTCTTCAAGCTCACGAACGGCACGATCATACAGTTTGTCCTGGTATACCCACATAGGTAGAGGCCGCTGACGGGCCGTCTGGTCAGACCCAGGACCCCAAGAGACCACTAGAGGAGCATGGCCAGGGAGGCCTTGCCGTAACAATTCCTGCGGTTCGCCTAGGACTCGAGCTGACTGGAACGAGTGACAGAGGACCCATGGGGGAGAAGCACTGAAACATCGATCAATTTTGCTCGCAGACTGCGTTCCCTCGTGCCAGTGCGCGGGCGCGTCCGACGCCAGCTCGGCCATCACCCTGGGGATTTTGCGGCAGATACAGCCGCCAGGGCGCCCTGCCCTCGTCGAGACAGTGCGGGCCGAAGAACGCAAGGGACGCGAAGCCCTGGCCGATCCAGGTGCACCAGCCCTTGAAGTAGAACCCGAAGTCGTAGAAGCTCTGCCGCGTTCAGAGACTTCCCCGCGCTCAAATGGAGCGGCACGCTCGCGGTCCTCAGCTGAGAGATTAAAACCGCCAATCGGAATCGCTGAAGACCTTGTTGGTGCTCGCCTGACTTCGCAAAACTGCTCTCGGACTCGCACCTGCAGTCGGAGAAGTTGCTCACGCCCAACCCCATGATTATGGACATTCCAATGGTACAGCGTAAACCCACTGCGCGTGCATACAATCTTGAGTAGTAACACTCGCCCAGGAACCAAAACTTCAGGTGAGACTTCGACGGTGGCAACCTTGGGAACTAATGTGAGAACACCTCCAGAGCGCTGCACCCCACTGTGCGATACGAACGCGAGGTGAGTGATGGCGACACGCTGGAGAGCCTCACGCACTGCAACATCATCGCCGTGAACTGCTTGAACAACAACTAGTGTATCGACTTGAGAGGTCCTCCTCAGCATCCCAAGCCGCTTAGACATCTTCGCGGAGTTGAAGTGGAGGAGCGAACTCGCACTCCATGATGCAAGCGTACGTTGATCATGACCACATATTTTGCTACCCACTCCACTGAACTTCACGATCGGAGAACGTCCTTCTCGCCAGCGATGCAGCTGTTTCCTTGAGGCCCGCGTCCGCGAGAGCAGCGATATTCCATTCAACTCGAGGTACACGGGAGGATGAACTTGGTGTGATCTTAGCCAGCGGCTCCCACTTGGCGGGGAGCTGACCGCCTTCGCGATCGATGAAGGTCGTGACTCCGTATTCATCTGAAATAGCACGCCGCAGCTTCTTGCACGCCATCTCCGTGGCAATCTCCTTCCGATTCTTATCGGTCGAGACGTACAAGGGGATGTTCTTCGTGACGAGCTGGATGTGGAAGGACCTCCACTGTCCAGATGGAAGGCGCAGGGCAGTCTGGGCCTGCTTGCGCCGATTCTCACAAGTAGCTGGATGTGGGCCGACCGGGTCGGGTCGTCGGGTCGACCTCTCCGTCCCAGCCGGCGGAGGCAATCGGGAGGTTGCGAGGTTTGGCTTTCGCCAAGTCGAGCTCGCGCTCAAGGTGGGCAAGCCTTTCCTCCATGGCCGCGAACTTTGTCTCGACCGTGTTGACACGCTGGGACTGCCTGTCGAGGTCCTGACGAAGAAGACGAATATGTTGATTGAACTTCTCCTCGTACTGGTTGAGGAGGGGACCCGTGGCCTTGACCAGCGCACACGGGAGGGTCTCGTTGAGGGGGGCCATGGCTTTCGCCGCGAACTCTTTGAGCGCTTGGTCCTTGAACTCTTGCAGAGAGCTCTGGGCCCACGGGTCGAGATGAGCACCTGCTGGAATGTGCTCACCAGGAGGACCCATGGGCGTCGCACAAGGGCCGCCTTCTTGATCCACGGATTGTACACCACCACGAAGCTCTTGCGATGGGAACGTTGCCACACCTTGAGTGTTGCCGTCCCAGTCGTCCAGCATGTTGGTGTCGTCCATGCCCGGACCCCGAGCTCCGTACACTTCCGGTAGTGCGCGCGGACTGGCTGAAACAGCAGGGGGTGGACACTTCGAATACTTCCGGCGGCGCATCATCTGGAGCATGCCCAAGCCGAGGCTGACGATGCTGACCTCCGAGGCTGGGATGGGTGAGCCCGTCGTTGGAGGCAACCGAAGACAGATCTGAGCGAGGAAAAACAGCCCTCCGCGCACGCCGTTCATCATCTGGCTTCTTGCGGTCCCGCTTCTCCTTGGTGGAGTGCCGCACCACGCGTCTGCTTCCTGAGCGCTCGCCATCAGTTCCCATGCGGTACGGGTGTGGGAAAGGGAAAGCAGGCGGAATATCTGCCAGACACCAAGTGTCCTGCCAGCCGCGGACTAGCGGTATCCGTTTGTCTCCCGCGGGAAACAAGCATCTTGAGCCAAAATGGCTACGGAGGAGGAGGAGGAGGAGGAGGAGGAGGAGGAGGACGAGGAGAAGGAGGAGGAGAGGAGGGGAGGAATGACGGGGGATGACGGGGAGGAGAGAGAGGAGGACGGAGGGGATACGGAGGACAAGGATGGGGAAGGAAGGCATGGCGAGGGATGAGGAGGCAAGGGGGAGTGGGAGGAGGTGACGAGGAGGGAATAGGCGAAGGCGGAGGAGGGGGGAATTGGCGGGAACAGGGGGCAAGGGGGGATGTCGGACATGGGCGCTGGCTGGAAAACATCTAGGGGCAAAGTCGCCATCGGTAAAGAAAAGAAGGCGGAAAAAGAGGCAAGAGGCAGATGCAGCCGGCAAGACACGACGTTCCTCGAGGGCCACAGACGCGGTCGTATACCGAGAGGAGAGGATAGTGAAAAGGAACAAGGAGGTGAATGACAGAGCGACAATAAAACAAGGACGTACGAAGACAAGGTCAATGAATGTTGGAGAAAAGAGATCCCCTCCCCATGGAACCAACCTTGGTGGATCGATGGGCGGCGAGGCTTCCTACTTCGGTTCCGGAACAGCAGACGCCGATGCGCACTCCATCCCACTTGAAGCCACTACAATCGCGCAACCCGCTCGATCAGAACATCTCGTTCAAATGGCGTAGAAGCGTGACCAAGCAAGGGCACGAACCAGGGCAGGGCATTCGCGTCGCTCTCCCACGGGACCGCTCTGGGACCGCTGACCGAGAAAGGGCACGACAATTGTGAACAATGAGCCGGACGCCCTATCATGCAGCGTAGCACGTTGTCCCAGACGGTACTAACATGTTAACGCTAGCGTGCGTTCGTCCACCGCGACCCTTCAGGACGTGGACAAACGAGCAGCGAGGGCCGCCAGGGCCTCCAACGTTCTCGTCGGAAGCGATCGAGGCCCTACGTTCCACGACGCGTAGGGCTATGCTTAGGTCGGGCATGCCCCCCTGTAGACGAATTTGTTGTTTAAGAATTTAAGGATACATGCCAAAAATGATCCACAGATTTCAATATGCTCCAAAAATCGTCCCCCGCCTTTTTGGGGGGCGTATTTTTCGAATTTTCCTCCTGCAGAGGGACGCGCCCGACTTACAGCAATGCAAAGGGCGCGATTGTCAGCCTGCAGGGGGGCGCGAGGCACAGTGGACGAAGAGGAAGAGGAACGGAGGGAAGGGAAAGAAAAAAAGGATGAGGACGAGGATGGAGAGGAGGAGGAAGAGGAGGAGGAGGAGGAGGAGGAGGAGGGGGAGGAGGGGGAGGAGGGGGAGAAGGAGGAGGAGGAGGCGTAGGAGCAGGAGGAGGGAGGAGGGAGAGGAGGGGGAGGAGGAGGAACAGGAGGAGGAATGAATGAATGAATGCTCTTCGTGGTCCCATGTGTCTCTGACTGCCGCACAACCCTGCTCTACGCTGTGCCACACTGTACCGATCGGACGAAGACGTGCTACACATCGGCTGGAGTTCGGCCTTACCGAGCAACGTGAAAACCAGGCCAACGAACCCACCGACCCGACACTCCGAACCTCCTGCGCGGCCTACGAAGCCCAGGAGGCCAGAGCAGGGCAGGGGCACCGCCCCTGTGTCCTTGCCTGCTCGGGCGAACGAGTGACGGCTGGACCTCGAGACACCCATGGAGAGAGTGACCACGCAAGCCCCCTCTGCCTCCAAGGGACGCCTCACAGGAAAAACCTTCGCCCATGACGAACGCCCTCTCGCCTGCGGCTTGCATCGCAAACCCGAGCAAAGCGGTCGAGGTAAACAACTGCACGATTAGGAGGAGGAGGAAGAGGAAAGGGAGGAAACGCGGCAGCAACATCGGTGCCTGGACGATCGCCAGGTAACGGCAAAACCGGTCCCTCAAAACCCGCGCTCCTCGAGCGCTCAGCTGCATTCAGGAATCGTCGAAGCGATCCCGCAGCGCCCCCAGCACGCAACGATAACGCTCCTCGTGAGTACGACTCTCCTCCAACTCGCCGAGCACCTGCTGAACCCGCCTCGCGATGTCCGAGGTCGGCGCCATGCCATACTTCATTACCCCGCCGTTGTTCGTGAGAACTGTCTTGGCGTGTTCCCAGACAGTCCACGCCAGCGCCTGGCGGGCCTGGCGCTGCATCTTGATCTCTAACTTCGCGTAATCGCGAGCGCACGTGTTCTTCACTCGGCAGTATGCGATGTCGCGCTGCAGGAGGAGGAGGAGGAGGAGGATCCCATCGTAGAAGGGGGAGGAGGAGGAGAAGGAGGAGGAGGAGGAGGAGGAGGAGGAGGAGGACGACGACAGCAGGGAGGTATCGCACAGGGAGGGGAACCCTCTACAGCGAATTTGTCGGCGAGATGGCCGCCGGGGGCAAGGCCCATCCCAAGCCCGCAAAGGCCCGACCCCGAAGTCTGGGCACTATCCGGAGAAGCAGCAAGGGCCGAGCTGCGCGGGAGCAGATCGCAAAAGCCTGGCCGTGCGCTGAGCGATTGGGCCAGAATCGGGGGTTGATGAAGGTGCCCCTGGCCCAAGGCGTCCCCAACTTTTCGCGCAAGTTTGGAGCCCCTGGGACCCTCTGGGCCTCGTGAGTGGTGCTCTGGAGACCGAGGGGGTCTCCTTGAAAATCCTGGGGGCAACTTGGGCCAGGGGCACATCGAGCAACACCCGACAGAGTGGACAGGGGCCGTTTTGAGCAGTGATGAGCTGCAGCAGGAGCTGGAGAAGGAGGGATGCGCAAGGCCGACAGGGCAGAAAGGGGCTGACCTGGCGGCAGAACAGAAACGGCCAGATCCGAGGCCCCGTCCACGCCCTCAGACTCTGGAGCTGACTTGTCCCACCAGCCTCTTCAGGCCGCCTCCTCGTTCGGAGTGGCCTTTGTGATCCCAGTGCCCCGCAGCAGCTGCGGCTGACGAGCTTCCTCCGTGGCCGCCCCCGACCTTGTCTCGACCCCCTCTTGTGGCTCCGCACCGCTGCAACCCAGCTGTGATCGGCCCCGAGCTCACCCCTATCCCTGAGACTGGCAAGCCAACAAGAACGACGACGATCTGAGGGGTGCGCCCTCAGAAACCGAAATAGGGGAACGAAGAATGGCATAAACATACAAACTCGGAGGTCCGCGCGGGTTTCTCGGATCGGCGCTGGACCCCACTCCCTGGCGCGCGGAGCACGCCAGGGGCGGCGCCGGAGGCGCCGCCAGGGGGTCCAGCGCGCATCCGAGAAATTCGCACGGACCTCTGACTATCTATGTGCATGTCATTGCCTGTTCCCCTGGATTCGCCCTCAGAAACCGAAAGGATCCCCGAGACCGGCACCGAGACAAGGCGATGCCAAGCGTAGGGACGGGGATGTGCGTACCAGGACGGTAGAGCTCGGGCCTCGGGCGTGACGCGCCGACCGCCCGGCGCCGCGAAAACAACAACAACAACAACAACAACAACAACAACAACAACAACAACAACAACAACAACAACAACAACAACAACAATCATTTTACCCGAACGCTCAGTGTTCTCACCAGTGCCAGGGTTTTCATGCGACGCGAGACAATACCCCCACTTCGTGGGGGGGCAGTTCAAGCTCTACCAAATATCCAAACGACTCTTCGCGACCACCCAAACCCAGCTTCCCGCCCTATGACGTTGGGACACTTCACTTCGTGGCGTGCGGACGACCGTGGCTACTACACTGGCGTGGGGTACACACCCACAGAACTTGGTCACTTATTCGGGGCGCGCGTGTGCCCAGCATCCTGCAATTGTGACATACAATACATGACACAGACAGACAGAGAGAGAGACAGAGAGCAGACAGAGAGAGAGACAGAGAGAGCGGAGTTGGTCACATTTTTGGGGCAAGTTCCTGAGATCGTCGTGTTTTTTGTTGGTCTTGCGCGCGCGAATGTCCACTTTACTTTTTTTTTGCAAGGGAGTATTGAAATTTGATTATGTTAGAACAAGAAAAAGTAGCTCGCGCGAGCTCATGTAACATAAATGTTGAAAAACCATTGGTTTTGTGGGAGTCGGACAGCGCGCGCGGGATGAAATTTGGACATTTTTTTTTTTTGAAAAACCATTGGGTTTTTGATGTTTTTATGTTGAAATCGCTTACGAAACCTAAGGTTCTGGAAGGATTTCGTCTTGCGCGCGCGAATGTCCACTTTACCTTATTTTTTGCAAGGGATTATTGAAATTTGATTATGTTAGAACAAGAAAAAGTAGCTCGCGCGAGCTCATGTAACATAAATGTTGAAAAACCATTGGTTTTGTGGGATTCGGACAGCGCGCGCGGAAGGACATTTTGACAATTTTTTCTTAAAAAACCATTGGGTTTTTGATGTTTTTATGTTAAAATCGTACGAAACCTAAGGTTTTGGAAGGATTTCGTCTTGCGCGCACGAATGTCCACTTTACCTTATTTTTTGCAAGGGATTCTTGCAATTTGATCAAGTAAGAACAAGAATTTTCATTTTCTATTGTTTTTTGCAAGGGAAAACGAGCGTCAACAAAAAACCGGATCCGGAGCTCATCCACTTTTCTGAAGCTTTCGCGAAAAAATGATGAAAATGTAGCTGCGGCCTAGGCGC